CAGTAAAGCACATGTGTAGGTGCTCCCAGTGAGAGTGACCTTACTCCTAAAGTCCTCTAACATCTTGCCACAATCCTCTTGTTCTTCCAAAAAGACAGATAAGTCCTCCAAGTATTCTTTGGAAAAGATCAAATTGTTCCAGTTTACCAATCTGCAAAAAAATGATGGGGTATGCCTCCATAAGTCCAAATCCAGCCTCAGTGAGTAACTTGGGTATGTATGGCTTCATACACAGACAAGTCTAACCTAAATGCTGAACATATGAGTTGACTTTGCAGTGAAAAAACATACCTTGGGGAGATTATGGACTTGGATGCTGGGCCAGGTGAGAGTGGTGGGGAGAGTACATTGGTTAAAACTAATGTTCATAGACCCATGGAGGGGCAGGAGGAGAAGGAAGAGGGGAATGACATTCTTATCATTATTCCAGCCCTTTTACTTTTGATAAAAAGATATCACTATGCTCTGGCCAGAACGGTAAGAAATGGTTCTAAAAACCTTGGGTCAGTTCCAGCTTGAGGGTGATTCCACTGGTAAGGACACAGTGAAAGATAGCTAAAAATCTGCTTTCTAAGACTGCCTCTCAAGCCCAGGGGTAAAGGACATAATAGAGGTGCCACAACATGTAGTGATTTTTAACAATGCTATACTTAACTGGGAAGCCCTGAGAGGTCTTCAGAACTTAATGTGTGTCCTGATATGGTGAAAATTGTATCAGGCTCTGTTGGGCCTTGAAGCATTAGTTCTTCTCTGCTGTGTTTCCCCAATGATACATGGTAGGGAAAAAGAAGGAAACATCTGTGTTTAGCTTCCCCCAAACATTGGGTAGATTTCATTGCATAATTCTGAGTTCAAAGGAATTTTAAGGGATGCATAACCCTAGTTTTAATATCCAACTCTGGGACTAGGGTCTAGAAATCTAGCTTCTTGTTCGTAGAGGACTGTTGCTTATAAGCTCTCAGCTTATATCTGACATTAGGTTGAAGTATTAGACTCCATCCTTGGATCCCATGTAACTCTAAACCTTCTGGTTTCAAGAAACATACAGAACTGGTTCCCTATAGTTCTACGTTCATGGATATACTGGCTCATTTTCAACTCCTTGACAAGTTTTTAATAGAGTTGTGGCATATTTGGCTGACCCTCTGAATAGCTTCAAAACTTCTATCAAATGATTATTTGTATAGCTCCAGGTGCCTGAGAGTCTAATCTGTGAAAACATCCCCTGAACTGTTCCATTGTTCTTATTTTAATGAAGAAGAAGAATCATCAAGGTTGAGGGCTTTCCCATTCTTTAGCTCTCTGCAGTAGTGTAATGAGTCTCCTGGATGGATGATACAATGCAAAAAATGAAAGGCACAGCTTAATAATTTCTTTGTCATGGAAGTAGCAAGGTTTTGAAGATGGCTTTGTCTTCCCTGATTTTTAAATATAGTGAATTTTAGGGTATTTTTTATTTTCATTAGGTATTTGTTGGCTACAGTACAGGGAGGACAATATTTAGGAATCATTCAAAAAATAATTGCTCTGAAAATGCAAAGGAATTATAACTATGGCCAAAGATGCCTTACAGTCCTTTGTTCCAAACATCTTTTACAGTCAAAATCACATTCACAAAATAGAATGTACTGCAGACTGACATGGATATAAAATGTACACTTAACTGTCATGTACATATTTTGTATGGGCATTGGTAATTTATATTTTTGTTCAATAGTTGTCCAGATGAGTTACAGGATACTATTAGTGTCAGGGACTTTTAATTTACTCACATTTTTTTAGGCTGCTTCCTCCTTGAAACAAAAGCCCTCATGGAAATTTATACGAGCTCTTATGACTCTTGACATGGTACTTCATTGACTTAAGTAATTGAATGAAACGCTTACAATATTTTAAGACAGATTTGCGTTTGGAAATTTATTCTTAAAATTTGCCTGTGCTTACTTTGCTACGTGTTTTCATGTTAATAACTTGTCCAGTTTATAAATTTACTTTAAAAAGAACAAAAGGGCATAGAGTACAGCAGGGATTAACACCCAAAAATATCTCATTTTAAAAAGAAGCTATATTTTGATAATGAGATGACCATAAAGATTCCAAAAATTATATTTTTCCTTCCTGTAACTTTAACCCAGATATTTATGAGCAAAATATTTAATTTAAGTCCATGTTTGGAATAGACCTCACTCTAATATTGATCCTGTGAATCAACTTTTGACCTTTATCATCATCTCGCGTGAAGTGCTATCTGTTCATCACAGTCACAGTGCTGTTTGCACAAAGTATTATAGGAGATTGGAGGAAGAGTTAATGAGTGTTCTTAGGAATACAGTCTCTCACTGGGAGCATCTACACATGCGCTTTACTAAGATGACTAATTAGTGCCACAATAAGGATATACTTTCACAACATCTAATAAAGTGAGCTCAGAGTCACAAAAGGTTATGTTATACAGATCTGATTTAGTTAGTCTTTAAGGTGCAGATCTACCCTGCCTTCTGCATGACTTCAGACCAGCATGACTAAATACCTTTCTCTATTCATGGAGGAAGCATAGTCATGATTTAGTTCCCACAGCCCCGGTCAGTAGAGTTGAATAACCAAATGTATACATGTAATAAGAATAAGCTGAGAAAGGTAAAAAGTGCCAAGACTGCAGCATCTGTGTATCTAATTGCTCCAGGAGGGATTCTGAGAGAGAGGGCCTGGGCTCTGTGCCACCCTACCACTGCCTCAGGAGCCACTCAATGCCATGTGCTTCCCACCACTGGGTGGACAGGAACATGATGGAGCCTGGCAGTGGCAGGCACATGGCATTGCATACAGCTCTCAGGGCAATGGCAGTGGCAGCAGGGTGCAGAGCCCAGCCTGAAGTGGCAGCCCAACTCCACCCTATTCAGAAATCCACAGGGCATGTGCCCCTATGCCTCCCCTGGGGTGCACGCAATGATAAGAGCCCCCCCTCCACACCCCTGGAAGAGCCGCTTGGGCTACAAACATTCCCATGACCCATCCCAGGGCCCCATTCACCCCAGACCCTGCCCCTGCCCCACTCCCTCCCTCATTTTGGGGGCCTTGATCTGGGCACCCCTATGCCCCTTCCCTCTCCCCCTGCCCCTTCCCCTCCCCAGACTTACCTGCTGGGGGGGGGATGGGTCTGTGTGTGTATACTTAGCCCCCCCCAAAAAATATTTTCTCCCTCCACCTATGGCACACACACATCGCCCCTCCCACCCTGACACTCCCCAAGCCCTGGCCCTCCAAACCCCCTTGTCCTCCTGCTCCCTATACACTAACCTTCATTTGGCTGCCTGGCTGTGTCCTAGCCACACCCCCAGCAGCGACTTGCAGGAAACGCTGCCAGCCTGCAAAGGGAAACCTGTGTTTTTACGTCTTTTTTCTGGCGCAGGCTCATGACCCTTAAAAATCACAATGTGAGACTAATTTCGTAGTATCCACACAGTCCGCAAAATTGCGATTTTCTCAGGGGTCTTAATATAAGGACTTTGATAGTGCACTGCCTCTCCTTGAGCATCTATGTTAAATGTGCCATAAACAGTCCTCCAAAAAACTAGGGATTTATGAATGCTTTTCCTCAGCTGCTAGGGGTTTTTATTTGCATGCCAGTGAATTTTGATTGCTTCTACTGTAAATTACAAATATAATGTAATCACAAATCACTAATGCAATATAATCACAATCACTAATCAAACTCTGTGAAGTAGATCATTATTTCTACATGGAAAATTTGAACTTTTTAGTGAACATAAGTAGTAGTCATAGTAGTGTTCAGATTTAGCCAGAAAGATTCAGTTTTTATAGGAAACAAAATGTATAAAGAAAATAGTACTAAAACCACTAGATTTAAACCACCATACCCTGAAACTGTCTTTTACTGTCTCCATCCCTGCTTAGTTTGAACGTGTTTTGGCATGACCTTCAGGACAGGGGTCAGAATTGTGGATCCTGAATGACCCAAAACAGCTCCCTGGAACTTAAACTAGAAGGCCTTAAAAACAGTATTTAAGACTTGCTCCCATTGGTTACCTCTAGGCAGCTGCATAAATTAGGTGGCTCCCTGCTTTGTATGCTGCCTGTTTTGCATCTCACTGTGAAGCACCTCACTCTCTACTGTGCTTCAGTCCTTAAAACAGAGTCTAGTTTCTATCGCAAGTGCTGAGGCTCTAGATGTTAGGCACTGTAAAACTTAACCTAAAACCTTACAGGATCTGTCCCCCAGTTAAAAATAAATAAATAGATAAATAGAAGAAGAAGGAAAACAGAGGGCTTTGTTTTCTCTACCCCAGTTCCTCAAAATGCAAAGAACAGGGGCTTCCATGTGGAATGAGATTTTGTATGCTAAATCCTGGATCTATTTTTAACATTAAGTCCCAGGTGGTGTAAGGGCACATTGACAATTTAATTACAATCTAGCTGTTGCCACTAAACTAAAAAGCTCAAGTGTCTTTTATAAGCTCTTGAATTTCTTTCCTTAAGATCTTGCAATGGGTCACAGTTAGACACATCATTGGAGGAACAAAAGACTATAGCTATGGAAACTCTTGGCTGAATATGCTAATTTGACTACATTAGTACCTAATGATGGTGCAGTCCTTGACTATTACCAGTGTGTATAGATGGTTGGTGCCACTTATAAGACAACGGGGAGAATGTAGTATAGTAATTATGAAATCCTTAATTCTATCTTAGGATGATATCTTATGAAGCAACAGCAGGCAAGATCATTTTTCTTATGCAAGCAAACAACCTGTGTCTACATTTACTTGAAAATAGTAAGATTAGTATAAGCGTCTTGATTGATTTCTTGACCATGGGCACTTCCCTAAGTATGATGTAGTCTTTCTTGGTCATAATAGAAAATCACATCCTTTCCTCAATCTGGAAAGCAGAAAATAAGTTGCCAGTTTGATGATCCATTCCTATGATACACTATTTGAACAGTAATAATCCTTTTCATGACTCATGGATCCTCATTTTCCTTTAAAATGATACCTTTTTTCTCTGTAAAATCATAGGTAAACATGCTTATTCAATGCCTATCAGCTTGACAGTTTGTTCAGACAATGGAAGATTGGTTCTTAAAGTTACTGAAATCTATGCCATTTCCCTCCATCACTTTATATACAAAACATATAGACCGAAACAGAATTTTGAGGACCAATATATTTCATCCTACTCTCTGACGAGAGAATTACTAAGACATAGTAGAATTTTTAGTTCCAAGTGACTTTCTTTCAGAAATATAAAATATAAGTGGTAGGTAAGGTTATCTAGCATACAGTGGATTAAGGAGGTTTCTTGAAAACCTTCAATTCAGAAAAAGGAACAGTTCTGTCACCCACAACCTGACCCTGAATGCAATTCACTTTTAAATTTATGTGTATTTGCTATCTATTCACGTTATTCCTGGATGAGGAAGGAAGGACTTTGACTTTTTAACTACTTTATTCAGGGGTTCAGGGATACAAAAAGGGTGGCCACTTACAAAGCAAAACAACGGACAAATTACTATCAAACCAAGAACACCATGTCATTGCATTCAACACATCACACCATGACAGACAGCCTTGCTAAATGCCACATCATGTCTTACACGCTAGTTACGTGGTCGGAGTGCCAGCCACACGGTCATAACTATAAATAAACAATTCGTACCCTGCTCCATCCAATCATACACTTAACAAAACCTTTAACTTCCCACACAAAAGGAAAGCAAAAAAACAGCCTGGTGAGGGCCCAGGATGCAGCATGAGCTGGAAGTCGTAGTCCAACACCGAGCCAGCCCGGTCACCCTGACTGGTCATGACATCAGAGAGCATATTTGAAATGGCCGTCCTCCACATGGCACAGCACTCCCTCAAGGGCCCAGTGTGTCTCAAAGGTGGGCACCGCCCACCGGAGTACAGCATGCTCAAACTCCAGGAAGAGGCATGCTTGCACCAGGAGGTGGAAAAGCTGCAGGGCATCATCTGAGCCGGTCCTGGCAAGCCGGTTTCGGCGGCTCTTGAGGATGGCCAACTTGGCCTGACCCAGTAAGAAGTTAGCCAGGCAGATGGGACCCTTCTCAGATGCCCGCTATGGGTAGAAGCACATGTAGGTGGTCTGCGAAAAGCTCCAGCCCAGCACCTGTAGCAGCAGCTCAAGGGTGACAAAGATTGGCTGCAGGTGGGGACAGTCAAGGAAGGCATGAAAGAGGGTCTCCTCAACACTCCCGGGGCAGAAGGGACAGGCTGTTGAGGCGGCTGGGTCAAAGTGGGACGCAAACGTGCCAGTGGCTAGGATGCCATGCAGCAACTGCCACTGCAGGTCGCCAGTTTTCTTGGTGGTTGGTGGCTTATACAATGTGCGCCACACTGGGTGGGCTGCTGGGGAATTTGGCCAGCCCCAGGTGCCATCGCCATGGTGTATCAGGGCAGCCTGCCAGCACTTGGGCATGGCAGACATGAACCACCCAGGCATATAGACTTCTCTGCAACAAAAAAGCAAAGGGGCAACCTATGTCACTGTCAGGAGGCATAGGGAGCATCAGCTTTCCACCCACAGCTGGGGTGACTGGTAAAGCAGGAAAAGCCTCGCTTGGGGCATCCTCAGTGCAGGGGACCTGGTCCACCCAGAGATGGTCATCCAGGGTGGCTGCTGCCTCCAATGGGAGGGAAGCCTGGATGTCACACAGGAGACGGCCTATGCTGCAGACAGAGATCATGCCCAGCTGGATGGTCAGGGCCTTGGGCGACAGCCAGGCTGACCAAGCGGGGTCAAGGAGATTGCTCAGGCGGAGAACACGTGCCTGAATGTGAATGGCTGTGAGACTGGCAGAGGCCAGGCTTGGCACAGGGTGCCTCAGAGCTGGGTTGTGCACCAGGGGTTCCCTCAGCAACTGCGGGAACTGCAGGTGAAGGGCCTGGGACTGGAGGTGGAAAGAGGTTTGCCAGGCTCGTACCACAGCATGGTAAAAACCCGGAAGCACTGCCCAGTTCAAAAGTGTAAGGTCCAACAGGAAGAGCTCCTGGTCAAAGCCAAGGTCCCCCACTCTCTGCAGAAACCGGCATGCCAGTTGTTGCCAAGGTAGGTGCTCCTTGCTGTACAGGAGTTGTTGATGGGCCTGCAGGTGGAAAGCGACCACCTCACTCGCAAGGTCAACCAAACTCTGGCCCCCCTCAGCTACAGGTAGGTAAAGAACATCTCATGGGAGCCAGTGGTGCCCATCCCAGAAAAAATCTACCAGAAGGCACTGGAGTCTCTCAAGTAGGTCCTGTGGTGAATCGAGTACAGTGCACTAGTGCCACAAGGTCACCACCACTAGGTTGTTCATGATGAGGACACATCCACAGTAGGAGAGGCTGGGTAGGCACCAGTGCCACCTTTGTAGGAGGGCCTCCACTCCTTCCTTGAGGCTGTCCGAGTTGCGCGCCATGAAGATTGATGGCCCTAGGAACACACCCAGGGTCTTAAGGCCCTTGCAGTGCCAGGTGAGGCCCCCTGGCAAATCCAGAGGGGTTATGGTGATCCACACATGAAACAACAGAGTGTCAATCTTGGCCCAGTTGATACGGGCCAAAGAGATGCGTGTGTAGGCTTTCTGGCAAGCTGTCAGGGCCTCCACATCTTCCTGGGTGTTAAGGAAGATGGTCATGTTGTCTGCATATGCTGATAGCCGGAGCGGAGGGGCAATGGACAGGCCCATGGCTGGTGGCAAGGCCACACCGCTCAGGCGGCGCTGCAGTGCATGCAGCAGTGGCTCAATGACCAGGGCATAGAGCATACCTGACAGGGGGCAGCCCTGATGGATGCCTCTGCATGCGGGGAATGGCCCACAGAGCACCCCATTCACCTTGAGCAGGGTGGAAGTGTCTCGATACAAGACCCGGAGGGCTCTGGTGAAAAGGGGCCCAAAGCCAAAGGCCTCCAGGGTCTGAAAGAGGTAGGCATGGTCCACCCATTCACAGGCTTTCTCCTGATTGAGAGAGATGAGGCCAATGTCTAGGCCAAAGAGTTCACTGGCAGTAAGTAGGTCGCGCAGCAGAAACAGGTTGTCTTGGATGGTTCTGCCCGGTATGCAGTAGCTCTGCTCAGGCCCAGTGACGGAGACCATGACAGTGTGGAGGCGGGTTGCCAGTGCTTTGGCCAGAATCTTCTAATCCATGCACAGCAGGGAGACCAGCCACCAGTTCTTAATGCAGCCAAGGTCTTCTTTCTTGGGCAGCAGCGTGAGCACAGCACGGTGGCAAATGATTGGCAAGAACTTGTCAGCAAAACTCTCCTGGAAAACATGCAGGAGACAGGAGCCAAGAAGAAGCCAAAAAGTCTTGTAGAATTCAGCAGGTAACCCATCAAAGCCTGGGGCTTTGCCAGAGGTGAGGCCAGCTGTGGCCGCTTCCAGCTCCGCCAGAGACAATTCCTGCTTAAGCTCGCCGGCCTCTAGGGCACCAAGGTGTGGCAGACCCGCATTGAGTTCCCACGTGGCCTCAGGGCAGGATGGCTCAGCCGCAAACAGGTCAGGATAGAAGGCAACAGCATGCTCACGTACTTCACCTGGGTCAATGATTACCTGGCCCTCAGGGGTCTTGAGGTGATCTAAGACTTTGCTTGCTGCCCGCTGTCACTTCAGGTTGAAGAAGAAGTGGGTTGGGGCATCTGTTGGGGCATCTGTTTCAGCCAGCTCTTGGCACTTCCTATGGAACTGGAGGCTCTCACGCAGCACTGCATCACTGCCGGCAGCCAGCAGGACAGCCTTGAATTCTACCACATCTTCCTCCAGCTCTCTGATACAGTGGTGCAGTTCATTTGTGGCCAGCTGAGTGTACTGCTGGCAAAAAGCCCAGATCTGTACCTTGCCTACATCCCACCAGAGCTTCCAGGAGGAGTAAATGAGTCTTGTGGTCTCCCAGCCCCACCAAAAGTTGGCAAAGCAGGCCCAGAAGTAAGAGTCTTAAAGCAGGCTGACATTGAAACACCAATAGGGTGCTCTCATGCAGGTTCTCCCTGGCAGGCTCTGTGGTGGGCCAGTAGGGGGTGCTCCTGTGTTGAGCCCCCCACCTCCCTGCACCCGACCACCTTCCAGGCTCTGAGTGCCTCCCTAGGGATGCCTCACCTCCGGCTGTCCCCCTTCCTGGAGCACACTCGCTAGCCTGGGGGTAACTTAAGCTGCCACCACCCTGAGAAGGGACTGTCTCAGCCCTGTGTCCTTGGGGAAACAGGCCTAATATCCTACAGGTACTCGACCCAGTACAGGCACTTGGGGCACTTCCCCAAATTGGGGTCCAAAAAGGAATGTCTTCCTTAGTCCATAGACCTAAGGGACCTCTTAGGCATAATTTAGTTCCACCCCTCAATAAC